AGCCAGTTTCAGATGTCAAAATAAATTACACCTACAACTAACGTCATCTAACTGTGAGCCGCAGGAACTAAGTTTACCACCTAATATATATAATGTGAACTATAGTTTTTCATCGCTGGCGATGAATTTTTGGATGTAGCCATAATGTATTCTAATGACTCAATGATTTTTTATGATTACTTTTAAACTTTTAATGGAATATTATAACGGTTAATTCAAATAAAAAAATAGTTGATCGATATTATAACGATCTTTCCCCAAAATCTCTAATAAGGTTTCTTAACGTAAAACGTATATAATTTAAGCATTTTAAGATACTTATTTAAAAGTTATTTGCACTTTACGAAACTTTTACTTTAAGAAACTTGCATTATTGTGCATAACTATATACCCATCTTCTTTAATTAATAACTAAACATGTACATGGTCACTTGGAAAATGGTAGAGGATATTTTGTTCAATTTGATCTAATATACTAGCAACTAATATAATAATAGCATACGTCACCAAATATTGTTATTGTTAAAATTAATCATTACATATTAGGTAAGTTGGAATGTTCCGTTCATCTAGCGGTGAGTAGCTATAGTTAGAACTGTCGGTAACTCTAATGTCTAAACTAAGCTTAATTTTTTAGTTTTACTATCTGTCATTAAAATTCAGTATATAAAGGTATACGTTTGCATCAATAACATTGTTTCTTACTGCATCGAAAATGTCGAAATTTGAGCCAAATAAGCGTCATTTGTGCGAAGTGTTAATCTTTTGCTTCAAATGGAAGAAAACTGCAGCTGAAGCTCATCGAATGCTTGTAGAAGTTTATGATGATAGTACTCTTTCCAAAACATGCAGAGAATAGTTTCGATGCTTTAAAAGTGATTTTGATGTGGAGGACAAAGAGCGTTCTGGACGGCCAAAAGCATTCGAAGACGAAGAATTGCAGGCATTGGTAGATGATGACTCATGTTAAACGTAAAAACAACTTGCAGAAGCTTTAAATTGTATTCAATCTGTCATTTCCTCTCGTTTGAAAGCCTTGGGAAAAGTCTACAAGGAAGAAAAATGGGTCCCATATGAACTGAAGCCAAGAGACATTGAAAAGCGAAAAACCATCTTCGAAATTCTGCTTGCTAGGCAACAAAGAAAGGGGTTTTTGCATCGTGTCATCACTGGGGATGAAAAATGGATATATTTTGACAACCCCAAACGTCGAAAAACTATTTGCGACCCTGACCAATCCTCAACATCGACGCCAAAGCGGAATATTCACGGAAAGAAGGCAATGCTCTGTATTTGTTGGGATCAGAAGGGTGTTGTGTACCATAAGCTGTTAAAATCTGGTTAAACAGTCACAGGGCATCTCTATCGAGAACAAATTATCTGTTTGAGCCGAACATTGCACGAAAAACGACCAAAATATGAAACGAAACAGCATAAAGTGATTTTGCTTAATGACAACGCTCGGTCTCACGTCAAAAAACTTGTCAAGGAAACGTTAGAAGCACTTCGCTGGGAAGCGCTACCCCATACGGCTTATTCACCAGACTGTGCCCCTTCCGACTACCACTTGTTTCGGTCAATGGCACACGCACTTGCTGAGAAACGCTTCAATTCTTATGAAGACGTCGAAAAATGGGTCTCTGGCTTCAAAGAGATGGATAGTCTCCAAAGAGTCATTTTTTCGCCGCGGAATTCGCTTGCTGCCTGAAAGATGGGAAAAAGTCATCGCTAACGATGGACAATATTTTGATTGATGTACTTTTTTATTTTCTTTCTTAAATAAAATCATACTTTTTGCAAAAAACGGACGGAACTTACCGATTTATCTAATATGTCGCTAAGAATATAAAATATGTCGCGAATAGAAAATATTATTTTATTTGAGAAATAAATACGCTTACAACACATAGTCAATTAAACGTTTGTATGATGTCATTATTGTTAAGTTTTTTAGACGTATTAAAATAACGTTAAATATACATTACTTAATCGACATATAATGTAACTGACCAATTATGACTGGATATTGATGTCAAAATAACGACTGCTTGCTATGTGAGGTATTTTTTTTTACATATTTATTTGTTAATATATGTTATATCATATGTATTTTTAATATAATTTTAATCATTAATATTAGTATAACATGTAACGTATATATGACACAAAATAAAATCTGTGAAGATTTTTACAACATTAGTATCACATATGCGTACAATAATAAAATATAACGACTACAAATAAATTATATTTTCACTATTACAACATATCATAAGTTACAGATACAACATATCATATGATACAGATACAACGTATCAAAATCTGATATAAATATTAATGAAATAAATATATATATATATATATATATATATATATATATATATTTATTTATTTATATTTATATTATCATGATGTGATATTCATGATGTGATATGTTAATAGTGTTAATAGGGTTTATTTGTAGTAGTTATATTTTATCAATGTACGTGTATATGGTACTAACGTTGTAATAGCGTTCACAGATTTTATTTTATGTTGTTACTTTCAATTTTCGGGAACAACAAGGACAGAGTACACTCATAGCGCTAAATAGCTTCTCTCCGAACACAGTCATTAAGAGCGATACAGATAGAATGATGTGTAGCGTTGATAGCGCGCATCTTCAGCATGCTTATATTTTATATTTGAGACATATCCAAGATCGGACATCTTATGGGCGTCCAAATTATGGACATTATCGGATGTCCAAAATCGGATGTATGATGGACATCCATTGTATATCCATGGATATGCGGACGTAAAATGGACATAAAATGGATGTTCATAGGGCGAATTGTGCTATCTAAATAACTAAATCGATATACCAGGTATATCTATGAAATGTGGATTTTTTTTTAAGGAAAAACACATGTTAATTTGAAGTGAATGGTTAAAGCTATTTATTTTAAGTATGCACCATTCGACGCTACAACTTTTTCCTATCTTTCTGGCAATAGATGGATTCCGCGACGATAGAAACTTTTATCTTTCAAAGCAAACCATGAATCGACTCATTTTTTCACTTCTTCGAAATTAGCAAAGTGCTGCTCAGCCAATCCGTGTGCCATCGACAGGAACAAGTGATAGTCCGAAGGAGCAATGTCCGGCGAATATGGCGGGTGAGGTAGCACACCCCAATTCAATTCTTTTAAAGTTTCCTTGACAACTTTTATGATGTGGGCCGGCGCATTGTCATGTAGCAAAATCACTTTTCCATGTCTTTAGGCCCATTCTGGACGTTTTGTGATCAATGCATGGTTCAAATTGATTATTTGTTGTCGGTAGCGAGCAGCATTAACCGTTTCACCAGATTTGAGAAGTTCATAATAAACAACACCCTTTTGATCCCACCAAACACAGAGCACTGTCTTCTTTCCGAAGCGATTTGGTTTTGCAGTCGATGTTGATGGTTGGCCTGGATCAACCCATGATTTTCTTCGTTTGGGATTCTTGAAATATATCCATTTTTCATCACCTGTGACGATTCGATACAGAAAACTCTTCCGTTAATGTCTTTTCAGCAGGAATTCGCTGGTGACTTTTCGATTCTCCATCTGTCTTTCAGTCAAATCGTGTTGTACCCATTTTCCTTCTTTCTGAATCTTTCCCATCGCGTGCAAACGCTGGCTAACACTTTTTTGAGTTACATTTAATACTTCCGCCAATTGTGATTGAGTTTGAGTGGAGTCTTCGTCCAACAATGCTTGCAACACTGTATCTTCAATTTTTTTCCTTTAGCCTTGTCTTTCACATCAAAATCACCAGTTTTGAATCGATTGAACCAACGTTCACAAGTGTCTTGAGATGGTGCATGTTCGCCGTAAGCTTTTACAAGTATTTGATAAGTTTGAGCAGCAGTTTTCTTCAAAATGAAGTAATGAATCAAAACCTCTCACAAATGGTCTTGTTTTGGTACGAAATTCGACATTTTCAAAGCAAAGAAAGACTATGATATAATATTTACACTTTCAAAATTTTCCTCATGTATGGTTTTGTAGGTTAGGAATAGCCAAACAAAATACTATACATGTCAAATCACCACGCGTAAGAACGTATGTGTGGCACCATCTGTTAGGAAAATCCGCATTTCATAGGTATACACCTGGTAATAGCCATTGATCTAAACAATCCACACTGGCATCATGAAATTGGTCAACAACATCGTTACAGTCTTTATTATATGGTGTGGTATTGTAAATGGGTACCTGATTGGACCATTTTTTTTAAGAACATGTTAACAGCATTATTTATTTACATGTTTTTCAACACAAGTTGATGGAAAATATTGACTTGGTAACAAGATAACACACACATATACACGCATATATGCACGCACACACGCAATGTAAATCCGATCGTAGAGCAATTTCCGTGTTATACACTTTGGGTAATATTAATGCCGGCGGTATTGTAACGTGCAAATCTCATAACTCGAAAAGTATTTAATGAAAAAATACTTTATTAGATTGCTTTGGAAAGCTCTCAAGATAAGCTACAAGAATATGTAATAAAAAATGAAAGATTCTTTTTAAAAAATTTGAGTTAGGCTCAACATAGGTCCAAAATCTAATAACATCATTTACTGGCTTCCTTAGAGAACCCTTTAACTTTTATTTGAAATATTTTTTTTAAATGTGTTTTTTAAAAAAATATTTGAAGTCGTCATTTAAAATAAGTCATCGTGTATACTATATTCATAGAATATCTAACTGGAATATTTTGAAATTAAGAACATTTGTATTTCATAATTATTCATAAAATATTTGTAAAATATTTTATGCTACCTATGAAATGAATTATGGAGTTTCAGTAATAGTAGTAAATTCGGGACGCAGCCTAAGATTGAGTGTGAAAGGAAAACAACTATTTATAAATAATACTAGAGCAAAGAAAATTTGTGTAAGATGGAATAAAAATAAATTATTTATACGAAAAGTAATTATTTTTGTATTATTTTCTAGGGTAAACTGTACGTAGATAAAATGGATATGAGTACGTTTCACTGCACAGCCTGGGAAAAAATCAACCGCCACGGCGGTAAAGTGCGTTTAGAATACATGCCGTAAAAGTAAAATATATGATGTACATGAATTAGTATATTTATGTTTTGGAAAAATACAATGCTTACGTCAAATTATAAGTGTTTCTAGTAAATATTAAGTAACGATAACATTATATTAATTTTTTAAATGCTATAAATGTATATATACGACTGAATTTCTTCGACTTCGACTTCGATTTCTTCCACTTATTTTCTCGAAACAATTAATATAAGAAACAGTTATTAAATGTTATGATAGATACACATATTTATATTCATGTTTTTTTTATATTTTATATTTTATATTTTAGCGATAGTGATAAATAAAATCTCAATTGTTTCGGTCCACTGCTTTTGGTTTTTTAAGAAACTTCTCTTCATTAATTGACATATTACAACATAAAGCACTTTGTCTTCAAAGTTTGTTGAAATTTTAGTTAATGATACCATTATTACATATAACATGTGTGACACTTACATTATTTAGTGAAGAATATAAATATTGATATAATTTTATTGTTACTTGATGTGGACTTGTGTTTTAATTTAATTTAATTTCGATCATATAATTAATCTGCAGTATAATAGAGAGAGGATAAAGCTGTAATGTGCGAAATATGGTAGTAATATGAAATAAGGATAATTTTTTTAAACTATTGCGATTTGTAAGTAACTAATATAAATATAATCATTAAGGGAGATTATGGTCTAGATCTTTTAAAAAATCGATTTTTTCTTTGTACTTTATTACAATTCTTTGTTGTATTTTATTACAATATAATATCTCAAATATATGTTTCTAGAATATTATTATGAAATCCGAAAAATTAACAAAGAGCCATTGGTCCATAGACCATGTGCCATTTCTGGGCAGTGAAAAATGTACTTAAAATGGGCACCAAATTAAATGCCTTGATGAGCTGATTAAGAAGATATAAATTTTAAAATCGCCCAGTGTATCGTTCCAAAATTACGATTCAAAAAAGTCTTAAATTTTAGGCTATATACAAGGTGCCCATTTTAAGAGTGCACCCCAAATAACTTCCTTATTTTTTATTTTAGAGAAAAATGTTTCAGACAAAAGTTATATGGTTTCGAGGGCGTTATAAGGTAGTACCATTGGTTTGACCTTGGATAGTCATTTGAAAATTACGTGAAGGCAACCTTCAATTTCTTCAAAATAGAATATACCATTTTTCATTACATATTCTTGTAGCTTATCTCGAGAGCTTTCCAAAACACTAAATAAAATATTTTTTTATTGCGTACTTTTCGAGTTATAAAGCTTTTGCAGTATTTTGATACAAATACAAATTCACTTTCCTGTAGTCTTATCTTACATGATCCAGCCAGTCAAGGCAAAATAATCTGAACCATTCAAGACAAGATTCGGACATGATCCAGCCAGTCAAGGCAAGATTCGGACATAATCCAGCCAGTCAAGGCAAGATTTCGACATGATCCAGTCAGTCAAGGCAAGATTTGGATACGATCCAGCCAGTTAAGGCAAGATATGAGCATGATTTTGCACTGATTAACTTTCAAATCAAAAGAATTAACAATTGCACTTTCACGATTGTTACAGTTTATTGTCAGTCAGTGCAGGCAGACACATATGTATTACAACCATTAACTTTTTCTTGATAAGACAGAAACTTTCGAGATTTTTGCTAAGCTTTTTTTCTTTATAAAATTATGGCTGCTTATCCACTAAATGAAATTATGGACATGATCCGCATTTTGAGTGAGGCTAGGAATAATTACTCGGCAGCAGAAAGGCTTTACGCTGAAAGATTTCCAGACAGACACCATCCTAATAGGAGAGTAATAAAAAAAACTTTGCGAAAGAACTGAGCAGGATTTTCTAAGTAGAAACCGGCGAAAATTGGGTTTTGATGAGATAACATCATTGACTGTGATAGGTGCCGTTGTTTTGAATTCTCAAATCTCTACGAGACAAATTGAGAGACAATACGGTATACCTAAATCAATAGCCAATCGTGTGCTCAAGATCAACAAGTTCCACCCATACTACATTCATCTAACTCAGCAATTGGAAGAGAGGGACTTCCAACGCCGAGTCCGTTTCTGTAACTGGGCTCACGATCAAATCCAATAAAATCCTTGGTTCGTTGCTCATATGTTTTTTTCTGATGAAACCATGTTTTGTAACAGAGGAGGTGTTAATAGACATAACTGCCATTATTATTCCGATGTTAATCCATATTGGCAGATAAGTCAAGAGTTCCAAAGGCAGTGGTCTATTAATGTTTGGGCAGGCATTCTGGGAGATGTTATTGTTGGTTCATATTTTTTTGAAGAAAACCTCAATGCGGCAAACTACTTAACATTTCTTCAACATGACCTGCCCAATTTCTTAAGACATGTCGGCAACGATGTACTCAGACAAATGTGTTTTCAACAAGATGGAGCGCCGGCTTATAGATCTCGAGCCGTTACATAATATTTAAATATAAGATTCCCAAATAGGTGGATTGGTCTGTGCAGCCAAATTAAAGAATAGCTTCCAAGATCACCCGACTTGATGCCCCTAGACTTTTATTTCTGGGACTACATTAAAGATAAAGTGTATTCGAAAAAGCCAACAACCATTGAAAATATGAAAAACCGCATCAGAGAAGCTTGCAGAAATATTAATGCAGATATTCTTCAAAAAGTTAGGGATGATTTTCAGCATAGACTAGTGTTATGCATACAAATAAATGGCCAAGTTTTCGAACACCTAAAGTATTGTATAAAAACTCATCTTGCTTTAACTGGCTGGATCATGCTCATATCTTGCTTTGACTGGCTGGATCTGTCCAAATCTTGTCTTGAATGGCTGGATCATGCTCAGATTATCTTGCTTTGACTGGGAATCATGTAAGATAAGACTACAGGAAAGCGAATTTGTATTTTTATCAAAATACTGCAAATTTAGAGCTTTATAACTCGAAAAGTACGCAATAGAAAAATATTTTATTATAGTGTTTTGAAAAGCTCTCGAGATAAGCTACAATAATATGTAATGAAAAATGATATGTTCTATTTAAGAAATTAAAGGTGACCTTTACGTAATTTTCAAATGATTATTCAAGGTTAAACCAATGGTACCACCTTATGACGCCCTCGAAACCATATAACTTTTGTCTAAAACATTATTCTCTAAAATAAAAAATAAGGAAGTTATTTGGGGTGCACTCTACAGGCCTACAGGTCAACTGTCAGATAATTCCCAATTAGAGTATCTTTAGAAAAGTATATATTGCAAATAGACACCTATAGGCACCTGATCTCAACACATTCATATAGTATTAGATATATATTTTCGAAATATGTTAAGTGTGGGACGAATTATTACCAACTTTTTCTATAACTTTCGATAAATGTTGTACAAAATCTTAATTCGAAAAAATGATAGACAAAAAAAATAAACATTGTCAGAAATTTGTACAAGAAATTACATTTATATAGTAATACAAAGCTGATATTATCATATTTATTGACAAAATTATATATTTATATACGTGTCTTAGACTCGTATTTATACTCAGATCTAATATTTAAGGTCGTCTTAAGTTTATAATCTTCACATTCTTTAGCCAATAAAATGACCCGTACAGTATTTGAAGATGAACTTAAGACAGTCTTAGATATAAAATTTGGCTATGAATACGGGCTTTAAAATTGTATTGGATGGCGTATCATGGTAACGTTACGCAGACATTTGAGCAATGTTACTTTAACGGTCTGTAGATATTATTCTGTTAACGATAATGCAAATTGCGATAGGGGAGACTTGGGATGGTTGGGACACCGGGAGGGTTGGGACAGGGATAATTTCTGGTAACAGGTTGGCACCACTGTAACATTCTTGCCACCTGTTGTTTATCATCTCTTGTATGAAGGTTCAACACAGGATTAGTCGGCTTCCGTTCCTTCAAACCTGAATAGGTAAGTTTTTTGTTTTCTTTTACTCAAAAAGTTACTAATTAAAAATGTTTTTAAAACTTTATTTTATCAGTATAATAAAGCTTTTCCGGGTTGATAATTTTTTACTCGAAACTTTGGTTCCTTATGATGAGACTCCCACATTTAGGCTGCGTTCCTAAATTCACTGTCAGTACTGAAAATCTATAGTTCATGTTACGTATACTATAGAATTTCAGTACTGGCAGTGAATTTCGTAACGCAGTCTTAAACTCAAGCTACCTAACTTCACGTTCCGTTAGGAGCGTGTTTTCAAAATGTAGTCGGCTAAGGGATGGTTGGGACACGGAAGACCTGTTCTATCAATAAAGATGACAGGAAGTTTCGTTCAGATGATTTTGTTCTCGTGAAATTCGCGACAAAATCTTCGTCTGTGTGTTACATTGGTAAAATTTTAAAAACTGACAGCGCCGCCAAAAATTTAGATGAAGAATTTACAATTCAATTTTTGAGACGAATTAATCCCGAATCTTTTTCTTTTCATTTACCATCAGTCGATGATATTTCTGCAGTGAATGAAAGCGATATTATTTGCAAATTATGTCCTAAAGATGAAACAAAAAGGACAAAAAGAAAAGGTCAAATTTTTATTTTTCCCTATCCATTGTTTTTTGAGAAACTTAACGTTAGGAATGCGACTTAATTACGGCGTATTGTTCATGTTTTCTTTTCTTTTTTTTTTTATAAAATTTTAACGTTTTACCACATTTTAACTATTGGTTCCAGTTTTTATTTAGTCTGCTAGAAAATGTTTATTTAGACTTTTCGAAAACAAAGTGCTGTGATAAGATTGTAAGGAAAAAAATTATAGTCAAAGTTGTTAACATTTTTCAATAGTTTACTTTTTTATGTTAAGGAACGTACCTATGTTACCATAAACAAAATTACTTAATTAAGCTACGTTGTAAAAGAATTTAATTAAAATGTTTAATTGCAATTTCATGTGTTATTTCATATGTGTCCCAACTCTCCCTTGGCGCTGTCCTAACCATCCAATGGAGGAAGGAAGGTTGGGACACTTGTTGGTTTTTTTTTAATTTGCATACTGTTTGCTATTTATTATATTTGGCT